ATATATATATATATATATATATATATATATATATATATATCTCGACTGAGAACTGCAGAGACATTTTTCAACAAAAGTGTGAAATTTTGGCTTGAAAAAAATGTGCAGAGACCCCGGTCTCCGTTCCGTGTGTGTAATTTCGTCTAAGTGCTCCAAATGGATGGAAAGGTGTAATATGAGAAGACAAATTATGTGATTACATGCGAGACGGCGTAATTCCTAGTCAGTCAGATTTAATTGGATATTGTTGTTGTGGCTTTTTTTTTTCCTGTGTTTTTTTTATTTTTGCAGATGCAGCTTTAATGAGCAAACATCTAGAACGAAAAGCCCTTTAAAGTTAAATTTTACCGTCACACAGCTGGTGTGACAGTGGAGAACGACTCCGTCCACGGGAAATGGATCTAAAAAGCCTCTCAACTCTCAAACACCTCAGTGAAGTGTTTAGCAGTACAGGGAGAGGGGTTTTGGCAGCGATTATTAGACAACCCTGTAATTGTGAATCCCGTAAGAGGCGCCCGTGTAATTTTAGCAGTGTTTGACCGGAGTCCATGGGAATTGAAACATTTTTATGATACATTGTTGAAACCTGGCGAGCTGCCTCCTCTGATTGTTAAGCGACGCGTTTAAACTTTCCATGCGAGCCGACACAGACGGTAAACATCGCTTTTGGTTGGCTGGACATCATCTTCGCCTGAGGCGTGGTCGGATCCGACCGGCGTAAATAACCCGACGTCCTCTCGCGCCTCCGCTACCTGTAATTTAACCCTCGGAACAAAGTCTTCAGCCAGTTCAGCTGCTTTTCTGCTGTTCAAAACATCTACTTATCAGCCTCCATTTTTTCCCCCCTTCCTCCTCCTTCTTATGCCGCAGAGGGAAGATGAAGCCGTCCGGCCCGCTCCTCCTGCTGGTCCTCCTCGCCGCGGCCGGGCCGAGCCGGGCCCAGTTCAGGACGTCCCTCCTGGATTTTTCTGGGATCCTGCCGAGCCTGAGCCGACCGGCAAACCACAGCCGCATCTTCTACGCCGTGATGTTCGACGCGGGGAGCACGGGGACGCGCATTCACGTCTACACCTTCATCCAGAGCAACTCAGGTAAAACCATGAGGAGATCGCTCTCTCTCTCTCTTTCTCTCGCCGGCGCTTCCCCAAAATGTGTGTTTTGGTTGACTAATAGAAGTTTGTTTGGCACCTACTCCATTTTCATACTTCATTAAACCTGTAAATTCAGAGGCCATAAGTCACATAGGGCTTAATTTGCCTGATAAATCATGCATACGCACGCTAAGAGGTTTGAAGCATTTGAGGGCTTTTAGCGGCTGCTTCATATTTGATGATGTGGGTGGATGTTGTGCCTTTCCAGAGCCGCTGCCTGTTTTGGACAATGAGATGTTCCACTCCATAAAGCCGGGTTTGTCAGCGTACGCCGACCACCCCGAAACGGTGAGTTCGTTGTCGGAATGTGATCGGCGACACTTTCGCCGAGGTGAAAGGTCAGGGATGGCCTCCAAGCAAAACCGGGAGTTGGAAATGATAAAGAGGAGAGAAATTTGAAATAATGAGGTGTGAAGTAACGTGACCTCTCTGAACTGCGCTCCGGTTTCATCGGCTTAATTAGATGATGTTTTTTTTTTTTTTTTTTGACAGGTGCAGCTGTTTATGAGTAAATACAAAAATGTCACTTGTACATATTAGTATGTCTATTACTAGTAGATATGCAAGTGGAAACATGTTAGAGGTTTGGCAATTTCATATTTTCAGCAGTTGATGTCGTCAAAGGCTGAATTGACTAAGAAGACAAGAATCAAACCGTCGCCTATGAAAAAATATTCAGTATACATGAATTATTAATTTATGTTTTTACTTTACTACAATATTTTTTACCTGAAATTGTCCCGTTTGTAAGATGGGTTTAAGGTGCTTTTAAATGATTGACACCTCTGACTTATCACCATCTTTCTGTCTCTAAAATGTCTAAATTCATGATGCTGTTTAATTATTCATGTTAAAAGCATCATTTTTATGTTATTAATTCCCAACAAAGGACGGTCCTAGCAAATTCACCTGCGGTATTTTGCCCCCGACTTAAATCTGTCGCGTTTAATCTCTCTACTTCACCAAAGAACCTTCCGGGTCACCGCTGCTCTGCGGTGAATATTTCCTCTCTCACAGGCTGGTGAAACGGTGAGGATGCTGTTGAAGGTCGCCAAGAAGACGGTTCCTCGTCTGGACTGGAAGAGAACGCCGCTGGTCCTCCGAGCCACGGCCGGACTCCGCCTGCTGCCCGCAGCCAAAGCCCAGGCGCTTCTGGACCAGGTCAGACCGTAACGACTCATCAAAAGCAGGCAGCAGCTCCTCAACATAGAGACGCTTTTTGGCCTTGTAACCTTTTTTTGTGCGGATGGTACGTTTTTATCCGTCGATGCCGCAGGGGAAAGTTACGCAGCTGTAAGCTCAGTGTCAAAGGCTGTCGTTTATGAGGATAAGGGGGGTTGGGGGAAACTGGGTAGCCCTGAGGCACCTTGGAAGATGAATGATACTTTTAATAATCTGTCCCAGAGGGAATGAACTAATCCCATCCAGCGGAGGGCACCTCTGGATGAGCTGCCATTACAGCTGATAATGTGCGGGCCGTTTAGTTCCTGCTTCCTCTTCCTCACATCGCCTCCCTCCTCTCCTCTCTCTCAGGTCCAACTCGTGTTTGACGAATCCCCGTTTCTGGTGCCAGACAACAGCGTCAGCATTATGAACGGCACGAACGAAGGTACAGCGTTTGCCCTGACAAGCACCTTCTCTCCCCCCTCTGCGTTGCCGTTACTGTTGTTGTTGGTGTTTTGAAGGTGTCTGCATCTTAACGATGCGCCCGATGGATCTTCTGTCAGGACCTTTCGCTTAATGAAGGCGTTTAACTAAATTACAGAAGATTATAGATGTTTTTTTGCGATGACGCATTAAAAACAACAGAAGTTTTTCAGTGGAGTCGTTTCAAGCCCTAAAAGCCAATAATTATGAGGCTGTTGTACGGCCGGATAATTGGTTTGTCAGCATTTTCGGCTCTCCTTGCATGCGCTTGCACTTCACAAATTTGTTTCAAAGTGAGCTTTTTTTTTTTTTTGTCCTCTGAAATGACAGCTTTTTAAATATGTCTCTGTCTTTTTTCAATCCTAGGCATTCTAGCTTGGATTTCTCTGAACTTTCTAACAGGCAAGTACTGTAAAGCAAAGTGTTTATACAGCTTGAACATTTTGACAATTTGTCTGCTTACGACAACAAACAGGCCGACATAAAGTGACCTGTAATTGTTATATAGAAGAAAGCAGTACAAAATAATAATAATAATAATAATAATTAATAATAAAAAGCAATAAGATGGTCATTTGGAACAGGCGTAGTAGGATAAAGCCTAAGTTGACTTTTTGGACAACATACAACATGCTAAACATGTCATCCCCAAGCTGAAGCACGGTGGTGGCAGCATCATGCTGTATTCCAGTATTAAATGTGTAGAGTTGGTAAAGACCCACCCCAAACACATCCAGCTGTACTTGTAGCGAAAACACACTGACTCACGGTTTTGGGCTGAATATAAATGTAAGCCACACTTTTCAGATTTCAGATATTTGTTTAAAAAAATTGCAAAAACGACGATGCATCTTTCTTTTACCTCCACTTCACAATGTGAACGGCTGATATGTGTTTAGACTTTTATAACAATATGTTTTTGGTATTTGTTGCAAAATGATAAAAATGAGAATCAGGATAAACTTAAAAGTACAATAAACACAAATATCGACTGAAAAATGCGACTGGTGCTTTCACCTCTATAAATACTGACATTTCTAATGGAGGAAACAACAAATAAAAGTAATTTAGAGAGCATAAATCACAATGCCAACCAAACTGTTTATAACAATCGTCGGTTACTATAATAAATTGCACTTCTTATCATTCAATTCTTTCACCGATAATGATTAATGCACTAATATTCACATTTAACGCACTTCACTGTGTTGTTCTGTCACCCAAGATCCAAGTAAAATACATGGTTGCAGTTGCAGCATGACTAAAAGTGGAAAACATCAAACTGTTTCCTTCGTTACGTAGATGACTTGTGTTTTCTCCAGACTCCATGCGTTTTCCTAACCCGCCGTCGTACTGCGTTACACGCCGGCATCCACAAATAGAATCCGATGAGAACAAGGATGAGTTTGTTCCCTAAAGCAAACTTCTGCGATCTTTCTCGGACCGAGCTGAGCCGGAATGTTTTCTCAGACGGAGCGCGTCCTCCGTAGCCAGCCTTTTGATGATAGCATCTCAGGTGGGAAGCGATTAGCTGCTCCCAGCTGCAGATGCTGGATTAAGGTGATTCATTTTGTTTTTCAGGTCACCTGAACAGTCACGCCACAAAGACTGTGGGAATCCTGGACTTGGGAGGAGGATCCACACAGATCACGTTCCTGCCCAAACTGAGGGTCGGCTTACTTTTCTGCTCTTTTGACGGACTCGTTGGAAAAACTACACCAGCTTAATATCACATTTATAATTTGCTGCAGACAACGATCGAGAGCGCTCCTGACGGCGATTATGTTGCCAGATTTGATTTCCTCAACTCAACGTTTGAGTTGTACACTCACAGGTAATGGATCGCATTATGCAGACGAGATTTGTTCTGTCTTTAAAATGCCAATATATGCAAAAGCTTCAAATGATATCTTACAGTCGCAGGATGTAGATGTAATTAGTGCAGCTTTTAGTGCCCTCTTAAAGTGATGTTAGTAACAAGCAGAAATCACTATTTTAGCTACAATTTTCACAATGACCGGTTAAATCCACTTGGTTGGTTTCGTATCTTTTTTTTTTTTTTTTTTCCTGCAGTTATCTTGGAAACGGACTAATGGCTGCCCGTCTCTCCACCCTGGGTGCTCTGGGCGCAGAAGGTACAAACGGTTAACCGAGCTTCATTGTCATCGCTTTGCCTCTCAGAGCTGCAGGGACTCACGAGTCTTCCTTCACTCCATCTAGATAAAGGGTGTACTTCCAGTTTCCATGCTAATATACATTTCATGTTATAACCGGAGATTAGTCAGGGAAGCGCTCCTGCAGAAGCAGTGTGGTATCAGCAGGCTCGGGCCGTGATAAGCTGGTGTGAAGCTGTTGGACCATTGAGGAGATTAATTATGTGCACGCTGTCTCTCCCAGGGTTGGAGTGGCAGGTTTTTAAAAGCTCCTGCCTGCCAAGTAAGTTCAGGGACGACTGGAGCTTCGGCGGTCTTACCTACCAAGTGAGCGGAGACCAAGACGGTAAGATCTGTTCGAAATGTGAGAGATTACCCCTAAATAAATCCATTAGCAGCAAATTGTCTATTGAAGGCACCTTGACCCTGTTGGGGTCTTCGCTAGCTTTGTACCCTCTGACCCTGCATGCTCTTTTACAAGTTTTTTTTTTTTTTGATTGTGTGGTTTTGAGAACTGACGGTCTGACAGGACACCCAACCACCCTACTTCCAATCTGTCCAACTGTGACATCTGCCGCTCTCCTGAGCAGATGAGAGGCTTAATAGTAGGGCTGTTGTAAAACAATATTTTAGTAATCGAGTACTCTATAGAATATTTTTACGATTAATCGAGTAAGCAGATCTCTCTCTTGCTCCAAAACGCTGATGACGTGGTTCCGAGCTGTCATACTCCAAAGCAACGCCCCACAAAATTTAACATTTATTTATTTACTTATTTGTCCCCCAAAACCTCTGAAAGCGCCGGACAATTTAGCGTCATGCTGCCAGTGCTTAACAAGAACTCATAGGCAGAAGTGAGAGCGCCGCCCACCACAAATAATGACCTGGGTGGAACAAGTGCCCTGAATAATAAAACACAATTTATCGAAGTTTCAAGTTTCAATCATTCGACAAATCATTTCAGCCCTACTTAACGGTAAAGTACCAGGACACAAGATACAGGTCAGGTATAAGATATAAAAAGCATTTCCAAAACTTTTGGAATCTATCATGTCGATTCCTGCAGAAGATGTCGGCTGTAGCTTTTCATGCTGCTCTTAATTTTCCTTAATCAATCATTTTAACTGACTAAAACAGGGCATGTGATAAATTTGAGCATTATCCAGCTTGACATTTCCAAGAGTTTTAGCAAACATTGTTCAAAGAGAACATGCATAATTTGCAAGCCTGCCTCCGTTTTGCCCCTCAGGTCGTGTGGGATACAAGCCTTGCTATCAGGAAGTCCTCCAGGTGGTGAAGGGGATTATTCATCAGCCGCACGAGCTCGAAGACAGCAACGTGTTCTACGCGTTCTCCTATTACTTTGACAGAGCTGTGGATGCGGGCCTTATCAGTAAGTGTGTGCACACACACCTCCCTGTCCACACCTTACATAATTATACAGCGCCTGCATGCGAGACAGAGGCTGAAAAATGTGAGTCATCTGCTCCTGTATCAGGGGATTTGATGAGCCATAGTTGTGCGGTTATTATAGAAATTGTCGTCCCGCTGCCAGTCTGCACTGAAAGGCCATCAGCTCTGTTATTAGGACTATATAAATGTGCATGTAGATGAGCTGTTGTAATTACTGTTTTGGCATTTTAAATATATAATGATCCCCTCCTTTTCCCTCTCTTCCCATCGTAGATAATGTCCAAGGAGGAACGGTGCGGGTCAGAGACTTCAAGAAGAGAGCGAAAGAGGGTGAGACCGGTTGAGGAATACATCATTACGATGACAGATCTGCTGCTCCCTGCACTTGACACACAGCGCGCATCTCAATGGACCCTGAGTGGTTTCTATCTGAAATGCTGCCCTCATCTGTCAGCAGAATACAAATGAGTGATTATCCAAGCTAACGGAGATGATGTTTCTTGTCTCCTGCTCAGCGTGCAATAAGATGACCGAGTACCCGGCTGTCAGTCCTTTCCTGTGTATGGACCTGACCTACATCACTTGTCTGCTGAAGGATGGATTTGGCTTCAAGGACGGCACCGTCCTGCAGGTTAGGGAACAAAGTGAAGAGCCTAGTTTTATGACACAACAGTCTCTTTTAGGCTGGTGAAGCATTGTGAATTTAGTTGGTGTTTTAGTTGAACATAGTTTAGATTTGGGTGTAAAAAAAATCCAACCAGACCTGTTCAGGGCCCAATCCGACTAATTAACTTGAATTATTGCCTGGAGCCTGAAGTAAGCCAGACATATTAGTTTGATTTAGCTTTTACTGCTTTTGTTTTTAGGCTATAATTTTAGTAAGCAGTTTAACTTCTCCCATTTTTAGCTTTTGTTTAACATCCAGCTCCATTTTGTTGCTTGTTGTAACCACAGGGTGAGTCGAGCGCAAATCTTCTGGGATGTGTGATTGATGAGAGCAGAACAGGGCGGGGCTGCGTGCGCTGTGCTTGTTACAGTCATTTGACTGGAGCTTCTGCACCTTTATTTATTATACTGTAAAGAAATAGATTAACACGACTTTACATTGTGCATTCTTGTCTAGGTTTCTGCAAACTTAACATGCTGCAGAAGCCTGAGCCCAACCCGACCATCAAGCAAATTTGATTTTGTCCCTACTCAGCTCAGGACTTAAATTTAAACTCCAATTCAATACCGTGATTTTGCATGAATTAAGCATTTCTTTCATTGCATTAGTTCAAATACACAGTTTCTTTTACCTTTACCTAAAAAAAATGCTCAAACCGTTATTCTTTGTATTCTACATGCAGTTATTTTAGTGACTCGATTATTTTCTCCCCTTCTAGTTAACCAAGAAAGTGAAGAATGTCGAGGCTAGCTGGGCGCTAGGTGCCATGTTGGACCATTTTCACAACCTGAAGATCCACTAAGGAGCAGTAATGAACAGAGGTCGAATTACATGGTGCTCGTCTTCAAACTGATTGTTTTTGCCGCCTTTTCTAACCAGCTGCTGAGATAGAAATAACTTTGACTAAATTCAAACACTCAGCTGTTTGAATTCTGCTGTAAATCTGCATTAGCAAGAGCGGGTGAAGCACTGGATGCTAAATAGGCTGTCAGCTGGAACTGGACACAACTACTTTAGCTTCATACAGATGTTTACTACAGGGGGCTTTGGTTGTGCAAAACATGATTGTTTTTATTAAAAAGAGTTAAAGTTTTTTTACCATAAAAATGGTATGAGTGTGTTAGAATGCAAGTGTGACCGTCGGGGCAGCCACTGAGGTTGGCGAGTAATCATTTTCACATCTGCAAGCGCTACTGCATCTCCTCATAGTTTTATAATCGTTTCCAACCCGTTTCTGCATTTCTTTGGGAGCATTTGCTTTTAGAAATCATGAGGGGAAAAAAAAAAATGTGGCTCACACACACACCACCATGTCACACGTGTCAAAATAAAACTGCTAATTACAAATATCTACAAGTGTTAAAGACTGATTCATTTTTTTTTAAACAAACAGCCATGTCTATGTTTATCCCACTGAGCCCGTCAGTCCAACGCTGCTGAAATAGACTAAAGCAGAGCAACCACGTCGTCTCCGTAAGCATGGCCCTCCGTTGTCATGGTCACCAGCTCATGCGGCTGAGCAAGGACTACCACTGAGTCTGCAGATCCTGCGATGAAAGAAACAAGAAAAAAAGCAAAGTTAAACAAGATGGAAAACATTTTAGTAGCACTAATAATTCCACATCAGTCAAGTAATCTTTGAGTCATAGTTATGGATTAACTGTTTTGTAAAAGTAGTCACTCCCCTATTTCACATTTTACCTCTATATTGTAACATAGATACAAAAAAAACTACTTGTGGCTGTGGACCTCTTGGCTGCTTGATCATTAGATGCACTGGATTTAAGGGTAGCTTTTATCTTTGTGACAAAAGCATGCCACACTTTTCAGATTTATAAATCCATCTTTTTCCTTCCACTTCACAATTTATACACCACTTTATATTAGTCCGTCACATAAAATCCCAATAAAATTGGAAGTGTTAAGTGTACAAAAATTAATACTTTCTCAAAATGTAGAAAAAAATTGACATTTGTTTTCAACTCATGAAAAGATGACGGATTTCTCACCACTTTTTTACCCAACGATGAATCTTACTTGTTTTTACACGAAAACCCCTAAGATTTTCTGAAAACATTTACATCGTTTACATCAGGTTGTTAAAAATTACTTGAAATGAAACCAGGAACGCCACAAAGAATGCCTGCTGATCGATTAAAGGTCGCCGAAGCCTTTAAATCTAGGCTGCTAAAAAGGAGCGGGCATGACTAAGACTCCCCGTTGACAACATGCTGGTAACAAGTTGACTCAGCATCTCTGACAGCAACAGGACATTTATGATCTAACTCCAAATAAGCGTTTGGTGCATTAACGGTAACGCTGTCGGACGTGTTGACTGTAATTCCTCCCACTGTGTGTGTTTTCTCCCTCATGTTTTAATGCCTACCTGGTGATCTCAGCATCGCATGATGAAGATTCATGGGCTCCACAGCTGTTGTCATGGTGACCAAACCACCTCCATTCTCACCATCTGCCTCCAGCAGGCTGCTTTGTGTTAGAGCCTCTCCTGTGGAGAGCAAGACAGGCAGAAAAAAAAAACAAACCTTACTTTACACAAACTATTCAGATTCTTAAACGAATCGTTCTTCAAAGCGGGTCGTAAGTTCTTAGTAAGCGTTTAGAAACGAACTTGCTCCTCACTGTCGTTCCCAGTTAGCCTCTCCATGTTGTTTAGAGCCGGGGGAAAGTCGGTTTAATAATTCATCCGGTAATTGTGTTATGTAGAACGGAGAGACTACCCGTCTGTTGTGTAACCGCTTCTTCCCTGGCTCGGCTCTTACAAACGACCAGCCTGTTCGGGGAGGGTGACCCGAATAAATCTGTTGTTTATAATTAGAGCTTTGGCAGCGTTTCCTGTGGTGATTCAGCTGCGACGCTTTCCCCCCGCTGCTGCCGAGCGAATATGACAGGCGAGAGGATGCGCTGTCTGCTGTCATTGTTTCTGTCTAAACATGAATTTCCAGCGTCTTGTGCGATTGGTCTGAAAATGCAAAGAGCTCGCTGTGGGACGCTTTGATCCTGAAGAGGTGGTGAAAATGATGCCAGGAACAGAATTTCCTGATCTGTGACGGCTGACGTTTGAGAAACGGTAGATTCATGAAAACACGATACACGTGTCAGCAATTTGTAAAGTCAAAACGGAGGGAACACACACAGACTGGAAGACTGGAGGAGTGTAATTCAGGTATTTTCAGAGTCTGGGTAAATATGGAGTGAGGAAAAATGTACTTCCAGTCTATTCACTGTCCTGTTACAAGGCTTCTGTAGCTTTCACCAACTCAAATTGAGCCTTTTTTAGAATGCGTCACAACAGAAACGTACAGAAGAAAACTGCATACTTTTTTGATGCTCTCTACAGTATAGAGATTTTTCCACTGAGCTCACCTAACCTCGTATGGGTTGGCGACAGAAGAGAGCAATGGTGAAGACGAACTGCCCATGATGGATGCAAAAAACCTGGCTAGCTAGGGTTTACACACGTTAGCAGCTAGCATAGAACGCAATGAAGACGTCTGTACGCAACTCAAACTTCTGCCTGACAAAAAGGTCCCACAAGAAAAAAGATAAAACCACACGGAAGATACAAGATTTACTTAAGAGGATTAGGACCGCAGGAGGAAAAATATTTAAATCTGACTTTTTTCTCAGAATTTTGACTTCTGAAATAAAAGTGAAAATTCTGAGAAAAAAAGTCTGATTTCTTTTTTTTTTCAGCAGTCCTAATTCATTTGCATACAGATTAAATAGTCTTTCCAAAACAAAAGACTTAAGTCCTGTGATTGACGTAATTAGAGCCAACTTATATTTTTAAAATTAAATTAAGAGATTTTAAGGTTTTAATTTTAGATGCACAAATTTACAACTTTGTAAGGATGTGCTGGATTACCTAAATATTGGATCTATTCACTTATTTGTCCTTCCCTTCATTAAATCCACTATTTTATTGGCCAAAGTATTTAACTTCATTATTCTTTCAAACAGCCTTGTAAAAACTTAGACATTGCAGAAACCATAAAAAGGTGTTTAAATAAAGCAGTTGGAGATTTAAAGACATGTTTCTAAATAACAGTGTTGTTTTTGTGATTCACAAAACGAGGTAAAAGTCTTTAAATCAAACACCGTTCCTCACTTTAAGCTTGAATTAATGCCGTCTTGGAGCAGGTAGTATGAGCTGCTTGAAGCGACGCAATCCAGCCATTAGCATATCCACCTATTGCACTGAGTGGGCGGATGTGTGTGTGTGTGTGTGTGTGTGTGTACCGTGTGTGAAATGCAGACCTGTTTCTCTGCCGTCAGCAGCCAGCCCCTCCTCCCCGTGCCTCTTCCTCATGTGAACGTTTCTGCTGCCGGACTGAGAGAAAGTCTTTCCACAGATCCCACACACGTGAGGCTTCTCACCTGGGAGGCAGGGAGGCGTTTCAAAAAGATGCCATCTCTCTCTTTGCCTCATGCGAAACATCTGAAGGATTACACGGAGAAACAACTGCGGCCTCGCTCACCCGAGTGTACGAGCATGTGTTTCCGTAGACTGGAGTACTCGGCGAAGGACCGCCCGCAGCCATCTGCCTCGCACAGAAAAGGCTTCTCACCTGAAAGGAAGAAACGACAACAAAAATACCACATCTGTGAACACTGGAAACCTCATTAAAGTTTCTAGAATTAATTTAAGCTAATACATTAACAAGTGTCACTCAGTGCAAGCAAGTGTTCAGAATAACAGCAGACCAACACTGCTAACGAGACAAATCGCCATTTCTGATAAATGTTATTTCTACATGGTAAATAATTAGCTTCTTGGTGTAGCGGGGCAACAGAAAACGAACGGCTCCGACACTCGTGGCACGCAGCAGCCGATGCTGTGTAATTAAATCATTAATTAAAAGGGACACGTTAGTAATAACGTTCAATCCAATCACTGAGGTCATTTGTTCTGTAAATGCTGCTTGTTGTGCATTCCTCTTTGAAAATCGGAGGGAAATGAGCAAAGAACAGCGTAGCCTGGTTAGCACGTAGAGGAAAACATGAGAGGAGAAAATTATCTCAAAAACAAAACAGAAAGCTGCCATTTAAACAAATGGTAAAAAAGTAAAAAAAAAAAAAAAAAAAAAAAAAAAAAAACAATTTGGGAAAAAAAAAAATTTTTATTTGTTTTTGGTTTTTCCCCCCCCCAAACCCCACTTTTAAA